CCGGAAACAGGTTAGGGATTTGGAAGAAAGGCCTGGCGATCTGCTTCTATCATGATCCCGACCAAGAAAACTCCCGGGAGCAGTTCCACTTGATAAATCGCACGGGGCACCGGGAGTCGGGTCAATAACTATGCCCAACCACATCGACCGCAGCCATGCACAAGTACTCACGTAGGGCCACCCCAGGCCCCTGTTTCTGCGTCCAGCCCCTTCAAATGCACTGCCATGGAGTGGATGGCTCCCTATAAGGCCAGGGAAGAACTGGCTCTGTGAACTCATCTTGCTCCTGAGGAGCGGCTGGTTCTTTCCAACCACCGACCTCGTGGGCAGCAGGCCCAGGCGTCATGGCCACGTTAACTGCAAAGATGGCACTGGGTGACGGGAGGAAGGGAGTTGTGACGTCCGCCTAGCCTATCGACTTTCATCTGCCGCCCAGTGTCCGTTCGTGTCTCCCTGCCTTTGCGCAGGCGGCGGCCCCTTCGCCGGGGTTGCTTTTCCTGCTGTCAGGAGAACTCCACCTCACTTTCCCGGGATCCTTCTGGGAATGCGTCCCTTCAGTCTACCCCTCTCTCTGCGCTGTGCACATGCTGAACCTCACGTGTGGCTCAGAGCATCTGCCAGATTGTCCTAGGAGGTAGGACCGGGTACCCTCCATCTCCGAGACCCCACACTTAGCAGTATCCCTCCCACCTCAGCAGCTTCACCTAGTAGGTGCTCACAGAGTGACCAGGTTTGAATCCTGCCTCTGCCGCGCAGTTTCTGGGACCTTAGGGTGCCAACCTTCCTCCCAGGCGCCTCCGTTTCTGCACCTTTTGAGTGGCTGTGGTAGTTCCCCTCCCAGTCCTGTATCTGAGAAGCCCTGGTGGCAGAGTGGTTTTGCCTTGGGCTGCTAACAAGGTCAGCAGTTCGAAACTTGGAAAGATGAGACTTTCTCGCCTCGCAAACAGTCGCAGAAACACACGCGGGCAGTTCTATCCTGCCCAGAAGGGTGGCTGTGAGTTGTCACGCGCTGATGGCCGTGAGCTTTGAGGGATCTTGTTTGGATGGTGGCACTAGGCGGATGCTGAGGAATGCAGGGGGCAGCGCACCCTCTGCTGGACAGTGGCAGAATCTCGTGGCCGCACTCCCAGGCACCCCCCTGGGCTGGGAGGGGATCCAGCAGAAATGGGGTCAGCGAGTGGACAGGGGAGTGAGCAGGCAGAGGAGCCACCGGAAACAACACACGTGTCGACCCCTGGTCAGTCCTCATCACTGCTCCATGGGGAGGGGGATTCCACTAGTGGGATTCAGCCGGTTCGCACCGGTTCAGCAAGAACTGATACCTAATCTTTTGTCCAGTTCTAGTGAATCAGTTGTTAAAATGCCGCTTGTATTCAGGGTTCTCTCCAAGGTGGGCAGCTGGGCAGCCACCCAACGTGGAAATCACACATTCACATTCCTTACTCCTTTCTTCTTCTTTTTTGACTTATTAACTATCTTTACAGTTGTTATTTGGAACTATATTTACTTTGTCTCTTCTAGTGTAAAAAGTTGTGCTATGGGAAACTCAGTCATGCAAACGTAGCAGTGGTTGTTGGCAGGTGCGGTTGAGTTCGTGCCGTCTGCCTGCGGCCTCGTGCACAACAGAACACGACTGTGCTCAGAGTGGGGGATGGTTGAGCTCAGTCTCCGTCACAGAGGCTCTTCCTCTTGTTCGCTGACTTCCGACTCTACCACGCGTGATGTCCTCTTCTGGGGACTGCTTCCTCCCGACAACATGTCCAAAGTACAGGAGGTGGTCTTGCCATCCTCGCTTCTAACACTGATTTGTTTGTCCTTCCGGCAGTCCACGATACTTTCAATGTCCTTCAGCTACACCATCATTCAAATTGACCAACTCTTTCCCGGTCTTCTTTATTCATGGTCTTAACTTTCAAATGCGTATGATACAATTGAAAATATCCTGGTGTGAGTCAGGCACACTATAGCCCTCAAAGTGACGTCCTGGCTCCTCAACGCTTTAAAGAGGTCTTGTGCAGCAGGTTTGCCCAGTACAATACATTGTTTGATTTCTTTCTCTTTTTAAAAATCATTTTATTGGGGGTTCATACAACTCTTATCACAATCCATACCTTCATCCACTGTGTCAAGCACATTTGTACAATTGTTGCCATCACTGTTTTCAAAACATTTCTTTCTACTTGACTCCTTGGCATCAGCTCCTCATTTCCCCCACTCCCTTTCCCATCCTCCCTCCCTCATAATTTATAAATTATTATTATTTTTTCATGTGTTACACTGACCGATGTCTCCTTTTACCCACCTTTCTGTTGTCCATCCCCCTGAGAGGGGGTTATAGGTAGATTGATCATTGTGATTGGTTCCCCCTTCCTCCCCCCAACTTCCCCTTATGCTCTTGGTATGGCTACTCTCATTATGGGTCCTGAGGGGTTTATCTGTCCTGGATTCCCTGTGTTTCCAGCTCTGATCTGTACCCATGTACATGCTCTGGTCTAGCCAGATTTTTAAGGTAGAATTGGGGTCATGATAGTGGGGAGGGGAGGAAACATTAAAGAACTAAAGGAGAGTTGTGTTTCATCGGTGCTACACTGCACCCTGACTGGCTCGTCTCCTCCCTGCGACCCTTCTGTAAGGGGATGTTCAATTGCCTACAGATGGGCTTTGGGTCTCCACTACACACTCCCTCTCATTCACAACGATATGAGTTTTTGTTCTGGGTCTTTGATGCCTGATAGCTGGTCCCATCTTCCCTATTCCTTTCTAACGTTCATCTGCACCACAGCTAAGCCCGCGGTAGTCATGCTCGTTCCATCCAGAGCTATAAAAACTATGCTTGAAATATGTATTTATTCATTTCAGAAAACTCATTATACTTTTGATGAAATATTATATTTTTATCCCCTTGTGTTTACTACTTCAGCAAACAAACATATAACACGGAGGGAAATAGGGCCTAACCACCAGAGGGAGAGACACATTATGATTCCTTTCAGCTGTGGTACAGCCCAAATCCCCACAAGAGAGGATGAGTGAATTGTGAAAGTGTTCAGTTGTCAGAACAACTGTTGTAAGTTCAGCAGAAGCAGAAAAGGGGTTTGCAAAGATGAACATAAGCTGTTCAGAGAAGAGAAGACTCTGGTTTCTAATAGATCAAGCACAGTACGTATGGTCTAACTGCCCTACCTCCAAGGAAATGGGATCCTACTGCTGCCATGGAAAGATGGCTAAGGACAAGCCGCACAGCAGATGATGCCTGGGGGAAGCCAGGAATATTGCATGTGAGGGCACCATATGCTCAAGAAGCAATGTGGAAATGTCTTAAATTAATAGTTAAATTATTTTTGTCAGGCATTAGTTAACATTTTTACTGCTATTTTGAAACTCTTATGAAACAGTATAGTTTTGTGTCCCTCTTTTATTGTTCTTATTTCATTATTACCTGTATGGAATAATAAACTGCCTTTCAGTATAATATATATATATATATATACTTCAAATGATCAGCAGAGGAGCGAGCTGGTTGTTACATTATTTGAATTCCACCATTGGATTCGACCCGTCTTTGCAGTAGAAACCCCAGCGCTTGTGACTCTTGTCACTCCTCCTTTTCAGAGGAGAAACGACTCACATGGGACAAGGCAAGGGAAGCCGGGTGGTGGGGAGGAAAGGATAGGTGAGGGGGGAGGAGTGCGCACAAAGGCTTCTCAGGTCTGTCTACACTGGGCCTGGAGGCGCCTGGGTGCCAGTCAGTTTGGGGTGACCCGGATCCTCCCTATTGGAGCTCAATTTCCTTGCCTGTGAGATAAAAACAAAGAAGTTCAAGATCGAGACAATGCCAACTCATAGCGACCCTATAAAAGGGTAGTATGGATGCTTTGATTTTCCAAGACTTTCACTGTTTACAGGAGTAGAAAGCCCCGTCTTTCTCCCACGGGGAATCTGGTGGTTTCAAACTGCTGAACTTGTGGATTGCAGCCCAATAAGGGCACTTCGGTAAGTCCGATTTGGAGCTTCCCCGATTGATCGCGCGGGCGTTGCTTCCTGCGCTGGCCAGCAGTCAGGGGGTGGTGGCGAGAGCAGGGAGACCCACATTCCTGCTGCGTGTCTGGGAGCTCACCACGCGTGCGTGCTCGCTGGGGAGGAGATGGCCCTTGGGACTTCAACCGCCTTTTTCACGGAGGGTCACTGCAAGGTGAACCAGCATCCAGGGCTTCACTTCCCTGAGCCCAATCCCACCTCACCGCATGGAGAGGAGACCTGTATGTGTACACGCTGCGGGGCATTAACTCATTCGACCTGCATGGGAGGCTGCTTCCCAGGTCACCAGGGATCACACCTGGCCGCCAAAGGGGCCCTCAACTCCTCCCCGCATCCTGGGCTGTTGCAGGGACTCGCCTGCGCACTGTGGGTCTCAGGGCTGATGGTGGGGGGTGTGAGCGAGGGGATCCTCAGCTGGAAGAATTGTTTGTGGGAGAAACCACCGGGTTGGGTGGTGTTGGTTAGGGAACGAAGCCAGTCGTGCAGGGGGGCGGGAGAGGCCATAACACCCATAGGAAAATCCCTGATCCCACATGTCGGGAGCGAGCCCTGGTGGGTGGCGTAGTGATTACTCAGGGGACTACCGTCTGCAAGGTGAGCAGTCTGAAACCCTACTCCGTTCAGGAGGAGATAAAGCTTTCTATCTTTGTCAAGAGTTCCCCTGTGGGAAACTCACAGGGGCGGTTCAACCCTGTCTTTTTTCTTTTAATTAAAAGATACTTTTATTGTGGGCTCTTGCAACTCTTTCAACAATCTGTACATCAATTGTATCAAGCACGTTTGTACATATGTTGCCATCACTCTTTTCTAGACATTTACTTTCTTTCTTTCTTTTTATTAAATACTTTTATTGGGGGCTCTTACAGCTCTTATCACAATCCATACCTTCATCCATTGTGTCAAGCACATTTGTACATATGTTGCCATCATCATTTTCAAAGACATTTACTTTCTATTGAGCCCTTGGTATCAACTCCTCTGTTTCCTTCCCTTCCCTACCCTCCCACCCTCATGTATCCTTAATGAATTATAAATTATTATTATTTTCATATCTTACACTCACTGCTGTCTCCTTTCCCCCACGTTTCTGCTGTTTGTCCCCCTTGGGGGGGGGGTTATGTGTCCATCATCACCATCCTTGCCCCTTCCTCCCCTCCTCTCAACACCTTTCCCCTTCCCCTGCTGGAACCTTTGCTCCTATTCCTGTTCCTGGATTCTGTGTGTCCTGGGTTCTTATCTCTTAACTGTACCTGTGAGCGTGCCCTGTCCTATGGGGTCGCTATGAGTTGGCGTTGACTCGATGCCAGTGGAAACGAGTCCTGTGTCAGCATTTCAGCCCTGTGGAACGCACAAAGGTGAACGCTTTCTTTCAATGCTCACTGTCCCGGCAGCCTTTCCCGTCGCGAGGAGCCCCCACTGTGGTAGCATTCTCAGTTTCTGTGTGGGAGGCAGCTCATGCAGAGCCGCTGTCCGGTCTGTCTGAGGAGGGCTGCCTGCTCCTGTGAGGCCCAGCGGGTTTCAGAGGCACTTGCTGACTAAGACAGACTAGGAAGAAAGGCCTGGTGATCTGCTCCCATGAATCTGCTGATGAAACATGGGTCCCGACTATGGAGGGAGCATTTCTTCCCATGGTGCATGGGGTGGCCAGGAGGTGGATTTAGTGTCCCAGGCTAGGAGGCAAGGGTGCCCACCATCAGCCATCCACAAGCCCATAGGGGCGCGAAGTCACTGGAGCTTTCTGGGAGCAGCTCATTGCAAGCAAGGGTAGCTGGAGCTCAAGGTATGAGACGGGACAGAGGGGGAAACTGAGGCACGGGCTTATCCCTTGACCAAGATGAACTTCCTCACAGCGGAGGAGTCAGGACCAAGTGCGAGGAATCTGATGCTAGAACTGGGGACCAGCGGGCAGCCAAGGCTCGGGACTCTTGGGCCTTGGCACGGGTGGTACATAGAATCAGTAGTCAGCAGCTAGCTCAAAGGCTGGAGATTTGAACCCACGAGAGAAAGGCTGGCAATCTACTTCTTCAAAAATCCGACCTTGGGAACTCTGCAGGTGGTTCTCTCCTGTCCTCCAGGCCGAGGTAGTCGGAATGGCTGGGGTTCACGACCCACAGTAGGCGGTGTGGCACAGGGGCTGCCGCTGGGACTAGGTGGTCCGGATTCAGATCTCAGCTCAGTCAGTTCGTAGCTGTGAGACTTTGGGCAAGTTCCTTGTCTGTGCCTCAGTCTCCTCATGTGTTGAGTGAGGGGAGTAGTGCCTGCCTCCCAGGGTTCCCCTTACACGAGTCAATGCTGTAGCCAGCTTAGAACCTCGCCACTTGTGTAGAATTCAGCCAGGAAATATGGGGCATTCTGCCTGAGTTCCAGATGGGCATGGGACCAGGACGACTCTAGAATTCCTCAGGACTCTGGGATGCGGGCCTGTGGAGTCCTGGGGTCGTCTGGCCGCACTGCCGTGTCTTTTGGGTGCACCAGCGTGCCCTGCTTCCCCTGGCTGGAAGGTCTGGGGCTGCCTGGCCACTCAGCTCAGCCCACTAGGTAAATGAGGTGATGTCAGAGCCTTGGCCAGGGCACAGACCGAGGAACCTCCCCTCTCGTCTCCTGTGCCCGCCCTCCCTCTCTCCCTCCCTCCACACACACTCCCAGCTGGGCCCAGAGGGAAGGTGAGAGGGTGAGGAGGGAAAGTGGTGGGTGGCTGCACGGATTCCGTCAAGCGTGACGCCTCCGGCTCCATTGAGATCCGGCTCTCCCTTTAAGCCTCATTTGCCTGGACCCCAAAGCCCTGCCTGGACCCGTGTGGGTGTGCGGGGGTGTTTACAGAAGTCTGCGTGTGCCACCTCTGCGGGGGGTGCCCGGGCCAGCATGGCTGAGGAGAAGACTTTCCGCATCGGCTTCATTGTGCTGGGGCTCTTCCTCCTGGCCCTGGGCACCTTCCTCATGAGTCACGACCGGCCCCAGGTCTACGGCACCTTCTACGCCATGGGTGGTGCCATGCTGATCGGGGGCGTCGTCTGGAGCATGTGCCAGTGCTACCCTAAGGTAGGAGGGACAGAGCTGGAGGGGCCAGGAGGGCCGCTGGCCATGCCCATGTTCCATTCAGCAACCCCTTTCCTCCAAGCCATCCTTTCATTCTTCTCTATTCTCCTGAGCATCTCCCCATCCTTTGCTGCCTGCCTGCCTCCCTCTCTCCCTTCATCCATCCATCCATCCATCCATCCATCCATCCATCCATCCATCCACC